GTCTAGAATCTAGAAATATGCAGGTAGGTTCTTTGTAAAGTGTGAATAAGCATCAAGAAAGGAAATCAGGAGTTTACACCCCCACGGGGGAAAATAGAGGTTCAAAGAGTGAACTGAATTTCCCCAGTTTTGAAGTTAGGAACCTGAAGTTTTGGGTTGATAAAAAAATATTAAGAATATTTGTTTGAAATAGTCTGTTACGAAACTTAATGTGACCAACCAAATTCTACCCGGGCGAAGCCGCGGGCAACAGCTAGTAATTTATATTTTTACTTTAAAAATACAATAACTGAAAAAATATGCCAATTGCACTAAGTAATGAATACCTTCGAGAATCGAATTGTGTTACCTTTAAATAAATTTCCCAAAACTAATACAACCGTCAATCTCATCGTGTTAAGTTTTAGACAATTTGTCCAAATTACTTAGTGTAAAAGAGAAAGTTTATCTATATTAAATACTCAAAATGACAATTGTATCAATTTTGATAAGGATTGGACAGATGTTCTAAAATGTGCATTGGTAAAAAAGTATCCAATTCAATTTAATTTATGGTTCAGTATTTTGCATATAGTGGTTGCCACATAAGATGTTGAAATATTCTATCGCGGACTTTCATTTAGAACTATTTCAGATGAACAATCTTATTGTATAACAAATTAAAGAATTAACTGTCTTAAACATATTTATTTCCAACAATATTTCACTGATCACAAACTAATTTATTCACAACCCTGAGCAACTAACGCCTAATTTATTTCCACTATTTGAATTTCTTGTTTAGCCGCTCGATTCACTTTCTGAACTGCCCTCTTGGGTCGGAAAGCCGGGCTTATATCGGTAACGGTCCTTTCTAGAAATCTGTAGTCGGTTCGGCTCTAGATTTTTACCGGCGATTCTCGACTGCATTCTTTCGCGGTGATGTCATGTGTTTGTTCGCTGAGTCGGCCGGCATATCGGTCTGGGGCGGCTTCAGGTTGGTTACATTATCTTCATATAACTCCAACGATACAGACAGCGCACGCCAAGATAGCTCTCAATGAGCAAGAATTTTTTCGACTTACTCAATACTTACCGTTACATCATGAAGAAAATTACACAAAACCTCTGTAAATTGTAGGCTATATGTTATTCTGATGTATAAGATGTATTCATGTAACGTTTCATTTAAATCCGTTCAGTCGTTTATGCGTGAAAAAGCCACAACATACTTACATACATTTATCTATTCTCACAAACTTTTACATTTATAAGATTAGTATATGTTATCCCAGTAGCCTACCATAAAGGTGTGATGAAGGGTGACTAATATAATGTAATTATACGGAAACAATTGAAGGGCTATGCAGAAATTTTTTTTTTGTTGTTAATACACATTTCAGACGTATTTAATGATTATCAAAAACATATTATTATGTTGACATTTGAATAATTTTTTATCAAAGCTACAGAATCTTTGATAAAGGTTCATATTTGAGATATCGGGTAAGGCTTGAATTAATATAACTGACATCGTATGTTTCGAAATTGAGACACCTACATACATTGATTTGATTATATCAATAATTGATCAGTTGAGATTAATCAGAATGACCATATTTTGTCAGTCTTCGATGAAAAAAATTATAATTTACGTTAATTATCCTTCAACATATTATTATATTGGAGCATATTGCGTATTGAATGTACTATATATATGAATCACAAAAAAATGTTTTGTCTTCGTTTGTGTAGAATAAAATTTGCATACAAATTGACATTGTCAGTAATGAGAAAACGGAGTGGTGTTCCATAGATTTGCCTACCGTAAATTCACCTGAAGGAAATAACGTGTTAATTAGTCACGAAATATGTGTGTGATATAATAATACAATGAGTGCACTAGGTACTGAGCTGTTTGAAATTTATCAGACGAATCTGTTAATTTGTACCTACTTATACAAAGTGGTGGTGACTGAAATTCGAGTCGATGCTTGACAGGGTAAGAGTTTTACAGAACATTAGGTATGCAAATACTGAAAATTCAAGGTTGTTTTTTATTTTTATCTGGTTGAAAAAATTATTTTCAGAAACCTGTTTTGAATTTTCACTTTTGTACCCCCTAAACCAGGGGTCGGCATGTGATTTTAGGCGGGGTCCGGATACTGTGGAAAATTTTTGACGAGGTCCAGAAAAAAACAACTGATAAAAATTAAGTGCTACCTATGTATTATTTTGGTTTCAAATCAAATTCTGAATTATGAAACATAAGACCTAAAATTAATGTGAGAAATTACACTGACGGTCTTGAGCAAGTTTTTTATAGTTTGGTTCTCGAGAGGAACAGCAAATTAAAAGTGTCTCTTCTAGGTGGGCATTCGTTAATCTCGAACGATATTTGTTTTCCAAAAACTTCATCTTTGAGAAAAATATTTGACATACGTATGTCGAGCCAAATATAGTTTCCAAATTTATATCTAGTTTCTTGGAATTTTCATATTTTTCTGTTTGTCCCAAAATTCTTCAGTGGATACCGTTTCATACATTTGCAAAGACACATCTTCTCGCGAATCAATTATCTCTATTTGAAGTGATGCTTGAACAACTTGTTAGCCACATCTGTCTGCTGCTACATCAACTTCAAATGGCGATTTAAGAAACAGAGATAGCTTTCCCATCTCCTCCTAAGGTCGTCCAGAAATTTTATAAACCCTGCAATGTCTTCAGAGTTTTTTTTATATTCAGGAATTGTCGAAAAATGAATAAATTTTTGTCTTGCAATAGCCCTGCGTATCTAAGTTTTGCAAGAAGTAAGTTACTTATTCGTTTATCAGCCAGAAACGTTCAATAACTTGACCTTTGCTTAGCCAACGAACCAAGCTGTCCATCACTTCTTTCTCAGTGTAGCACTGAGTTTTCCAAAAAGGGCTGTCTGGCGAATTATGCACCGATACGATATTAAACCCGATTTTGTATTCCTGATTCTCTTTACTACACCTTTTTCTTTGCTTATTATTGCTGGAGCCCCGTCAGTTGAAAGCAACACCATTTCATCATAACTGATGTTAGATTTAGTAATAAAATCATCAATGACCTTGAATAAATCTTCTTCTCGAGTGTTTCCTTTCAACGGCAATATTGCCAGTAACTCTTTCCTAAAAATTTGACGCTCAATATCAACAAATCTTACGAAAATAGACATGTGTTCATCATCAACAATGTCACATGACTCATCAAGTGCTATGACGTAGCAAGATGCCTTTTGTAGAAGGTCAAGAAGAGTGTTTTTGATATCAGCAGCTGAGATTTCCGTTTTTCGTGTTTTACTTCCCGATGATGATGGAATACTTTGAAATGCAGCGACAGTATCTTTTTTTCTCCAAAAAGTTCCGTGACTACTTCCAATATACATTTCTTCACCATCTCAGAATCTAAAAATGGTTTCTGGTGTTTATTAAGCGACTAGTACACACGTAATACTGCTTCTGTGGATTTTTCTTGCTCGCTCACGCAACAAACTAGGCCTATCAGGCAGCCTAACATGCCTATCAGGCAGCGTAAAACATTATTGTTCAGTCCATTCTGCCAGAAACCTCCTATTTTTACTGTCCATTACAGAAAATCACAAAACAAATGAATGGTGCTTCACGGTTTGCGCTGCGACTGACAGTTTGCGCGTGACGTAAGCACACACAAACACACACACACAGGGTAGATAGGAAACTAATAAAACCATATCAGTTGTAGGTACTTGTAAAATAAGTACATACTTTGTACTTTAATTAATAAAGGTATAGTGTAACTTATCTACGTATTAATTTATACTTGGTATATATCACATTACAATATTTGGCGGTCCAAGGTTCGACCTTTCGCGGTCCGCAAACGGACAGCGGTCTGCCTGTTGCTGACCGTTGCCCTAAACTATAAAATCCTCATCCCCCTCAACTTCGATTTCCTTCCCTCCTCGAGCTTGAATTTGTTGCCATTTGTTTCAACTTTCAGAGCTAAGCTCTGTAATAAAATAGTTCCCAGTTCTGTATCTATGTGCCACCATGTATATTCAACATACCAACTTTTTTTATATATGTTTTTCGATAACTGTTGTTTGTTATCAAAATAAATCAGTTCTGAAAATTCAGTAGATGTATGTTTCGCGAACTCGTCTATCGTAACAATTTATTATATTCTATGCATTCTTTTATCAGTAAGAAGATGTGCCCATTTCATTTCATAATGTGTTATCATTATTACTGATTGGTTCATTTCTGGAAAAGGAAAATTCAGTAGATGTATGTTTCGCGAACTCGTCTATCGTAACAATTTATTATATTCTATGCATTCTTTTATCAGTAAGAAGATGTGCCCATTCATTTCATAATGTGTTATTATTACTGATTGGTTTATTTCTGGGAAAGGATTATTTATGTAAAAAGATTTGGGAATCTTCCGAATCTGGGCGTCTTGATGCGCATAATTCATAAGTTGTGCATTTTTGAAATTTTAAATGATATTTCCAGTATCGCAGTGTGTATGTATAGGGAATAATTTCATTTTGGATGACTATAACATCTTCCATCTTCAGATTTTTATTTATTTTATGTTTGTTACAAAACGGTTTCATTGATTGAAAAAATGCTTGAAGAAAATTTGTATTTTTATGATAATTTACCAAATATTTCAATAATGAAAAAAGTATTCATGATATTCCATAAGAAATGTCATTAATATGGCGATCACATACTTTATAAATAACTTCTGTGATCATCTATTTACGAACGTAATTGTTTACTACCATTTTGGTCTCTCCTACGACCGATATTTTGCAAATACAATTTTCACTGGGTAGTTTTGCCTTGACTCGTTCGTCAACTTGGGGCAATGCGAATAGAACGTTTTCACAGTTAGATATTTCTTGTTTTAATTCCTTGCACCCCTCGCAGCTATTTGGTTACCTACCAAAGTTAGCTCTCGAGTTTATAAATATAGAAATGTCGGCTAGACTCATTCAGAGTACTTACTCCATTTATTGCTGCACTGAACCCAGCCTGGCCGTAACCCTGTCTGTGGTAACCCCAATTCACTGAAAAGAAACAAAAAACACCATTAGGAACAGACCTAAAAAACCATTTATTTCACATTCAACGTCTCGAACCTTCAAGAATCCCCGTTGTTTAGTGTTTCATGAGCACATTTCAACACCAGTCGTTCAAAAGTCTACCCCTGTTTAATTTCGGTACTAATTTAAGTAACAAATAAGTGTTGTTTAATATCCAGAAGGCCTGATTTAGTTTAGACTACGGGAGTAAATTGGGTGTTCTTAATGAGAAAAATATGTGTAGAAATCACTCGTGGCGGAAGATTAGTAAATATGTGACACCGCGTGACGGAAGTTCTGCTGTTAATATACCTTTTACCTATTATCACATGGTAACAATAACTTGTTTTACTTCCTGTTTTGGTACTTATAAGTTTTAATATTTGAATATCAATAAGATGGTACGCTAATTGACAAATCACGCCGTGAATTAAACAGTGGCTGAGAGTTTCAGGTCAAGATCACAATAGTCCAAGACTATTAGACTGGATAAATTGTAGCATTCTGAATGTTTACTACGTATTTTTTTATATACTATAATTCCAAAATAGTAGGCACAAAATTTGCTTTAATCTGCCTCTTGTACGGAAATTACACTGAACAGATGAGGAAAACTGATGGTAAAATATATAGAATCACAACCTTGGCAACAATGTTTTGCATTAATATTTCGGAGAATGTAGTGCCTACTAGTATGGAATTGAACTATAGTGAAGAAAAAACCTTAGAAAAGCCAAGCAAATCCAAGTAGAACATATTTGATTCGAAGTCAAAGGCGCAGAAAATGTTTCCGTGTTAGGAATCACACGTTAAAAGGTGGGATCTCGTTAGTCCTCAGCTCGCACAAATTTCTCAACTTGTAAGAGTTGTCGTTCGTATGGGGGCGACAGCTGATTAACGGAAAACATATTTTAAAAACAGATATTCCAGGAATTCTCTCTATAACAATGAATGTTTTTAATTCATTACAATAGAATCCTGTAAGAAAAGGTTCTATAACTTTTTATTCATAAAAATTACTCGTAAATTCGACTTTTGGATTATGATGGTTACATTGAAAGCGTAGTATTCTTAGAAGAGATAAACATTTTGGGAAAAAATCTTTTTGACTATCCTCTTCTCCATCGTTGAAAAAAAACATCCGAAAACTTCCTGAGAAAGGGAGAAAGAAAATACCTACATTGAAAATTCCTAACAGTGATATGTTGAATAAAAAAACGATGGAAATCAAAACAACAATAAACATTAATTTGGCGCTCCGGGGCGACTTCATTGATTCCAGTGGCGCATTTGCTTTTTCAACTGCAGGAAAACCCGGAAAAACCTGCAACACCACATCATCTGAAAATCTTGATCTGCCAATGTCCTCTCTCTCTCATAAAACAAAATTCAAGACATCGCCAGAGCCACAGTGAACAATGACTGCATGAATATTAGAATAGTGGTATGCTAGATTGGAATGTTCATCTATTTCAAACCTTCGAAAGAGTTTCTTGTTTCCGTCAGAGGTTGAGTCTTGTTTGAAGATCATCAGTGTTATTATTAGATTGACTGGTGCCTCAGTTATACTTGTTTTCTTATAACAGTCAGTTCGTTTGGCGCATGTTTGGCAATGCAGTCGATCATCACCTGTTAAAAATTCCATTTTCAGATGATTTAACAATAAGCTTTGCACGGACTGGTTATTAGTCATATTAGGAAACGCTAGATGAAGTTCCAGAAATTCAAGTTTTCGCTACCTCTTGATATGTAGGTGAGCTACAGAAAATTCTTACAGAAACAAACTGAGGAAAAAAACTCTTCTGAAACAACTAGTCCACCATCATCATCAATAGTGTACTTCGAAGTTTCGGGACAAGACACTTACCTTAACACCACATCAGCACCGTTTTGGACAACATTACAGACGAAGCAATTTTTATGGCTATGATTTTCTTTCCTTCTTTGGTGGAGTATTATAATTTTATATAATACATAAAAATTCAAACAAACAGTTCGAAAACTGATGTAGCTACTATGAAATAAGGTCCGTTATTATTCATCACGAAATTTCACACGAAAAATCTCGAATTTTTTTTCATAGAAGTCATCGTTATCATCAGAAATATCTCCCAAACTAATTCGAGGCAATGATAGAAATGATGTATGACTTTTGAGTTAATATTTTTTTAACAATCTCAGGAGGCCTTATAGATAATATAGGCTGAAATGTGTTCAATATGAAGCTATTGTATTGTGAAACATGTGTTGAGGCTTTCTAAACTGTCCGGTGAAAATCTCACTTGAAACGTGTTCCTTGAAAAGGTAGACTTTTTGAATAAATGCTTCAATCAACGCCACTCTATGTAAAATAAAATAAGAGTCGATTCAAATCCAAAACTTATCAATCAGTGACAACTGAATTTTTTCAAAATATTTACTTACCATGTTCTGAAATTTCCTCATATCTTCAATTCCATCAAATACAAAAAATCTATATAGGGATGAAAAGTTTCAAAGTACTTACTTATTCTTATCTCAAACCTCTATTTTTAAGTATAAAATATAAAATAACTGAAGCAATGATGATTGAATATTAATGGAGTTTTTTACTCCCTTCAAGAGGAAGATCAAACTGTTAATCTTCCTCTTGAAGATGATCACTTGGTGATCGAAACACGTGTCAAGGTGTTAAAATAATGGTTTGATGTTGAAAAAAAACTCCAGTGGTATTCATTACTACACCAAAGGTTCCAAACAGTGCATCACAAGTCAGTAATGATTGTTTCGGAAGTTTTGTATGTTTTAATATCATGCGTTTTTGTAGCTCCATATCTCAATAAATATGTATTTCACTGTGTTGTGCTGTATACTGATCGATAGAAAATTTTATAATCTACACATGCTGATGCTGTTACTTTTTTCCAATATTGAATTTTTAGCCTCTTTTCAGCTTATTACTGCCAAAACAGCTCAAAAAATTGACCCCGAAGTGGTCGACCTATAGTATTCCAAACATTCCAGAGTTTGATGGTTTAAAGTTGGAAAAATCAATCAGCTCGAAGAGTAGGTGCCCCACGATTTGAATGATCGAAAGATCCCGTTTCGAGGTCTGTTCTTTTCTGCTTTTGCAGAAAACGAACCTTTTTTTGGATCGGATCGTCACGTGTGATGAAAAGTGAAACCTTTACGATAAATGGAGACATTCAAGACAGTATTGGGACAGTGATGAACCACTCAGGCATTTCCCAGAAGCGAAAACCCATTAAAAAAAGATCATGGTTATTGTATGGTGGTCAGCGGCGGTTGTGATTCACTATAACTTTTCGCAACCGAGCCGAACCAATCACGGCAGAGTCCTATCGTGCCGGTCCGCATGTTTCACAAACAAACGTCCGAAATTTAAATGGATTGAGCGTTGCAGTTCTGCTTCACCCACCATACTCTCCAGACCTCCCACCAACTGACTATCATCTTTTCAAGCACTTCGATAACTTTCTCACCGGTAGTACCGTCGCCAATTAGGACCAGGTAAAAACGGTCTTCTTCGACTTCATCGAATCCGGAGCAGCCAATTTTAATGCTGTGACGGAATTATTCGACACATTAAAAGAGACAAAACTTTTGAAACAACCTATTATTTTTGAAGTTTCATGCATTACTATGAATGCCTAACATCAAATGAAGGTAATGGCAATATGATTTTTTTTCAGTTCATCTTTTCCTAGCGAACTCTAAATGAGGAACATACAGAGTTTGAAAATTCATAAGAATCATTGAAGTGTGATTGTAATCATTCAGTTGGTCATTCAAAATGATTGGTTTCGGGATTATTTTTTGTAATAAGGTTTGTGAATAAGGTTTTCATAATGCAAAACTCAAAAAATTCTATATTACAAAAAATGAAAATTCAATTCATTGTGACCTCATCTTTTACTGTACTAAAACTCAATCAAAAGATATTTTATTATTGGTTTTTGTCTCACATTTATCCAGATATATTTCAAATCTGATGAGTTTCATTGTGGCCTAAACTATTTGGGTCTTCGGGTGATGACAGTCATCACCCGAAGACGATTGTAGATACCAACAATCGAAACGTCGTGAACTAACGTGACTTGGAATCTCTACACTTTTTTATTTTTTTCTTTTTTCATTCCTTCAATTTTTATTTATTCAATTATTATATTTTTACTTGTAGGTTATTTCACTATCATTTCATTTCAGGTTTATTGTTTGCTTAATATAATTGTTATCTTCAGTTATTCTTTTTTTAATTATTCCTTTTTACTTGTTTCAGGGATTTCAAATCATTTTATATAGTAGACAATGGAAGTCCGAACGAGTGAAATTCATCACGAAACATTGTCAATCACCTTCAAACAAATAACATCACTCTTGATCGTAAAGGCCGTCCGAAAAAAGGAAGGAAAAGGAAATATGAACAACAAAATTTAAACCAGAGGAAGATACGTGAAAACAGTAATCAGCAATATTATTCAGCTGAAGGAAAATTAGTAGAACCAAAAGAGTTTGTTGATTGGTTTTGTTCATGTGTGATTAAGTGTCATGAGAGAATTTCTGTTGAAGAAAGAAGAAAGTTTTATGAACGCAATTGGCATTCAGGTAACTATAATGTTCAGACTTCATTCTTATGTGCATACGTAAAAGAAGCAGAAGCAATGAGGAAAAATACAGCGGCAAGAAATTCAAAGAAACGAATATTTTTAGAGTATATTCGTTTCAATTAAGTCGTAGCCTGTAGAGAAATGTTCATCAAAACGTTGGGCATTTCTACCAAGCGTGTTAATACTGCACTGCGTGAAGTAAGAACATTAGAAACACTTGATCGACGAGGTATATCTGGAGGTCACAACAAAATGTCAATGTACCAAAAAATGCCGTTATTAGTCATATCAGTAAGTTTCCTAGATATATATCTCATTACTGCAGGGGAAAAAGAGACAAACAAAAGTTTTTGGCTGAAGGAACAGCACTTACACAAA